AGCTGAAGTAGGAGTGTTGCTTTTAGTCAATACCAGCTTTAAGTTTTGTAGTGCTTTCGGTAAGAAAACAGTAAGTATTCAGAAACATGTTGCTTTGACTTAATCTGGATTGTGAAGGAGGAAATGTTAAGTAATTATTAGGTGTCTGTAAAGTGACAGTGGAGACAGGACAGAATCAGAAGGCCATCATACATGAAGAATTAAAAAAAAAAATTAGAATAATTAATTCCAGTGTTATGTGGGAAAAATCAGTGCAAGTGGAATAAAGTCTGAGGAGGTGATTCAGATCTTACAATCCACATTCTTTATAGTTCTCAGTGCTTAAGAATATGTTTACATATCTGACTCCAGTTTAACACCAGCCACTTCCTTCTTTCACAGAAAATAAGACTTCCAAATACAAATGCAAAGCCTTAGTACTCCTGTGAATCTGATTCCGCTCTTCCCTCTATATTCCACTATGTGTAAAATCAATATTGTCTGCCTTGGGTTAATCTCATTTCAATATGGTACAATGACTGTGGAAGGGTGACAATCTCTAGAAGGGATTTCTCAAAGATTAAAGAAAAGAAGGGATATCTTCAAGTAACCTTACTGGTAAATTAGAAGTAGGAGTTTTTAAGCAGCACAGGGAAAACAAGTGATAAATGGTCCATTGCAATAAACATACAAAGAAGTTGTATTCATAAAATTCAAATAAGAGCTGGTATTAATTCAGTAATTCTTTCTTGCAGAGCAAGAATTGCATAATGGGAAATTTTCTATATTTCTTGCTTGAATTCAGCATTGCAACTGCTGGTTTGTCCAGGCACCATTTTTGTCTGAATTTTATTCGGCAGTGAAACGTGTTGAACGAAAGCTGGAAGGTTGCCTGAGAGTGTGAGCTGTTCACAGATTAATAGAAACTTGATTAATTTTTCTATTGGTGTTAAAAATAAAATCCTTATTATTGTTTTCTGTGCTAGATATGCTTTTGTTTTTAATTATGTCATAAGGGTTTATATGACTTATGCTTTGAAACTCAGCTAATATAAATCTGATACTTAAAGAAAATTGTCTTATATTGCATTTATTATTCTAGAATGTTTTTTATTCTTGGTCACCACCAAAAAAACCCCCAGTTTACTAATTTATGATTGCAGTGTCATTTTTAAGTATTAAATATACTCAGCTGATATGTTAGTTGGCTTATTTTGTCTTTTCATCACATCTATATATAAATTAGCAGTGTTAGATTTACGGTCAAGTTTTATTTTAAGTGCTCCCATGACTTATAAGAAGGTAATCTGGTAAGGTACCTCATTTGTATACATTCTATATAGCTTTTGCTGCAAATTGCAGATCACTTCCTCTAGATTTCAGTTGCATTGGATTCACTGAAGCTTTAACTATCCATCCTAATTATTTAGAGACCCTTATGGATAGTTATGGCCTTGATTAGTATAGACACAGACAGAATGATAAGTACAGAAAAATAATAAAGAATGTATAAGGTAATAGCAGGGAATGTGTATTAATCAAATTACAGAAAAATTGAAAATTAATCCTTAGATTTTTTCCTTCAGTATAGTTTTGAATGCATCCAGTAAAGTGTTTTCCACTATTTATTGATGAAAATTATTGTACTACCTGAGAGCTCATAAATCCCAGGTACATTTCATTTTTCATCTTTTTACTCTTTGGATAGTGATGTAGGTTGTAAATTAGAAACATTCAAAGCTGACAAAGACTTGACTTAAGAAATTTTAAACAAAAATACATCACAAACCTTGAGTTATTCTAAATCATTATAGCCTTAAGGCTCCCTGGATGTATACTGCAGCATTTCTAAAGACATTCTTGGCAGCAGGAAAATTGCAAATTACCTTCAGGGGTCTCCCCTGAGGTCTCAAAGAAATTATAGGGAGAAAGGTCAGTTCTTCTGAGGGCCTCCAGTAGGCATCCATAAACTGGCTTTATTCAGAAGTACTCACAGAAAGCAAACTCACAGGTACCAAACTGATGACTCCACAAAAGCTGCTTGTCCAATGGTGGTTTTAATTTTCCTGTTACCCCAGTCTGCCTGAGTGTCCCAGTTACACATTCACCAGGTCAGTAAGTTAAAAGAATTCTGTTTCAAAATAAGATCATTTCTGCACCTAGAAATGTGGGAAAAGTGGATGCTGCTATTTTAGGTAATGTTTGTAAGAACTTCCTGCCTTACAAGTTGACTGAAGCTCCACCAGGACATAGAAAGTCATAGCTCACTGTATGCTTGTTTTGGAGACCTCTCTCCTCTGTGAAGGCTATTTCCCACCTAATTCATTGTCAGTCAGTTTTGCTGAGGTGTTCAGTAGGAGTGTCACCAGCGTTTACTCAGATTTCTTGCTGCAGCTTCCAATGTTGTTTATGACAGAAACGCCTCTGAAGCGAGATCAGAAATTTGAAGGGAATCCTGACTTCATGAGAAAACCAGCTTTCCCCTGGTCTGAACTTCTGTCAAAGTCTACCATTCCACTAAATACAAATTCATATTTGTTGCAATTGTTCTTCAAGCATATCTAGAGAAACTGAGGGAAAGTTTGTTTTGGATAAATGTCTCTCTAGTAGTACTTTTCTCTTTGCGTGCACAAAGAAAGAATGGAGCTCTTTCATCTTCCTTTGTAGGACTTGTTTTTGAGAAGGAAAAAGGTTTCTGTTAGAAAACCACTCATTTGAATCAATCTCCTCAAAAAAATACATGTATCAGGAGCTTCTCAATTGCAGTTAAATCCAGAGTGTCTTCCACCAGTTAATCTGCCTCCTCTTAACATTATCTAATCTCAGCTGGGGAATCCAAGGTGTGCTAACTCCACAGTTTTTGTCTGAGAAAGTTGCAGCATTTGTTTCTTTATTCTTCTGCTTCTACAACTCAATGTTTGAGCCTAAACTTTGGACTCAGGATGCAAATATACTCACACTCAAAACATCCAGTTGCATATTGTACATTTAAAGGAAACTGAAATTTTCACTAGAGTTTCATTTCCCACTTTGCGTAACGTGTTGCTGATCTTTTGCCTCTAGTGTTTATTCTAAAATTTCTCCTCTGAGGGGATGTGATGGTTTTGTCAGTAGCCTGGTTATAGCCTGCTGCAGATGTCTGAGTTTCCACTGCAGGTTAGCTCAGAATGAATTTCAGGATCTCGTTTCTTACCTTTTGTGTTCTTTTTGAAAGTGAGATCATTGCATCAGAAATTCATGATTTTTTGTTGGCCTTTTTTTATTATTTTTTCTGTACATGGGGATCTCTAGCCCACAGATTAGTTGGAACCATGGCCTATGTATAACCAAATAAATATATCTGCTTAAGATGATAGCCTGAAACAGCTGCTTTGAGAGGTGAATTGAATCATTCATGACAAGGATCAAAAGCTACTTCTTTGACACCTCCCTACAAGAGAATGCTGTCCATGTGACAACCTAAGCACCAAGAAGCTAAAACGAAGAAACTTTCCTGTTGCAGGCAAGGGGAGAAGAAACAGCTCATTTTCTTGAGAAGTGTAAATAAGAATGCTTTCACACCTTCTTTTCTGAGCAGGAAAGATGTGTTCTCTGTCAATGTCAAAATCTTCCCTGAGAGTGGTATACTAGCTATTTTCAGTTTGATAAAATTGATCATCTACATTACTGCAATGTTTCTTAAGGTAAATAGAAGTCCAGTTTCTCTCACACAGCCAAAACCACATTGAAAATCCATACATCTTTGTCCATTTTAATGTCTCTAAGATTTAGTAGAACATGTCTAATTTACAAGCGTTACAATTTTTGAGAATAGCTGAACTTTTAGCTCAGTCCTCATAATAAATGAGGATTTTAAGCAGATAAACCATTAATACTAATGGGATTAATTCCCTAGGAGCAGGAGAAAAAAACTTCAAGAGCTTTCAGAAAATACCTTCTGTTTTCATCATGTAATTAAATTGTAATTAAAGTTGCATTATACATTGCTAATTAAAGGGGAAAACCATCACTAACATTACCAATTACTCTTTTAAATAATATTAATATGAAGAAAATACTTGCTCTTCCGTTTCCTTATACTGAGCATTTCAAACATGATTCTTTCAGGACAGAGAGGAAAGCTGTAGGCACGATCCACTTTTCATGCTGGGATCAGGATAAGAATCTCTGAGTCAAAATCATGGAAACCACTCTAAGGGCAAGTGTGGGATATGTTTCTGTCTCTGTTATTAAAAAGTAGTGGTGGCCTATATTTTTTTTCACAGCAGCCTAACTTACTCCAATTTCTTTCAATTTTTGGGAGGCTATTTAAATTTTTCAAGGCTAGAGTGTGGACCCTTTCAGGCAGGTGTTGCATGTTTCTTCCTGTTTACACCACAACTACTGCACTGTGAATTCAGGCAGAATACAAACAGCCCTTGAGACCTGCCCCAGACAAGTAGGCGCAGCTTGAGAGAGACACGTCATCTCCTACAGGGCACGCTTAAAAAGTTCCTTTGGGGAGTTCCCCTTTGTTTGGTATAAACTTAGAGGGATCAACTCAGTGGCAATTATCTGCAGCAGCCGCTACAAGGATACAAGCCAGAGGTGGGGTGGTTTGGTCACTTGGTGTTCTGTATTGCCACTGGCTATGGGGGCCATTTTCATGGTAAATAGTATTATGCCTTTAGTGGATTTATGGAACAGCTATTGCCTCGTTTCTGGATTTCATACAACTTTGTTTTTGGCTTTGTGACCTGCTTAGTGCCATAGGAGTGCAGCTATTTGCTGACTGCACTTTACTCTGTAATGGAGATGGGGTGAGGACTAATCCATTAATTTAATGGAACATTAAGATGAAAACATTGCAAGCCATAGAATCTCATCAGGATCCGTGAAGAAAGGCTGGGTTGTATTTACAATCATAAGCTATTTTCATTAGAAATTTCTGTTTATCAAGGCCAAATTTTTCATGCAAATGTATAAGATTTGGAGACATTTTGGTAAGGCATATTATATAGATGTTACACAGAATTTCTGACCTGATGGGTAAAAGTTCAGGTCCTTCTCTTCTCTGGGTCAGCCTGGTCGTTTTTGTTTCTTCAATTTTTTACCCATATCTGAGTTCAGATCCTGAACTGGTAAACTCCACCAGTACCTGGGAGGCGGAAGAAACAACAGCTAGACTAATGTGCTTGGATGGAAAGAAAGAGTGAAATTTCCCAGGAAACCAGACATGAATTAGCACCTCTGTAGATGCAGTCTGGTGTTTTGGATTTCTCACTCAGGCTAGGGGAGTATAGGTGTACCCTCAAGCTAATGAGTGTGGGATGTGTGCTCTCCTAAAGAGAGAAATATATAGCTGAAATAATTAATGTCTGTCTTATTTATCTTGTGTGGGTTTCACCCTACTTTTTACACTACTTATGTTTACCAGGATTCTTTTAGTTTTCAGAGAGTTTAGCACTTCTATCAAGCTGTCAACACAAGATGTGTCACACAGAAGGGGAGGCTGGTGCCCATAGTGCAGGACCAGCTTTATATTTGAACTCCCCCGGCTCAATCAGCAGATTCAGGTGCCCTGTGGCAAAGGCAGCAGCCAGCTGTGAACAAGGTGGGAGCCAGCAGGGCACAGAAAATTGCTTCTTCCATCTCCTCAGTCATTTGTGACACCACAACTGAGGGGCTGGCTCCACCCTTGGGGGTCCCTGCCACGAGACACTGATGAGGCCAGCTGATGGGTCTCCAAAGAGAATGGAGAAGGGATTGTAGTGCCCTTGGAAAGGGCTGTCATGGGGGCTGTGCCACTGAACATCTGGAGGAGGCTTGATCCTCTAGTCTGCTGGTGACACCAAACAGGAGGGACTGAAGCTGGCACTCAGATTGCCTTTAGGAACTTGGCCAGGACAGGGAGGCCTCCAAGACTGCTCCTGGGGCTGGTCCCCAACCCTGCAGGGACACACTCCAGATTGTGTGGTGAGAGGAGAAGACTGGTGGCACAGCGGGAGTTTCTGAGGCCTGGAAAAATGACTGGTGTGTCATTCCAGATGGGTGAAGGAGAGGGATGCAAAGTGTTTCTCTAGCAGTCATACTTCACAGCTGACTCATGAGATTGGATTAAATGACCAGAAGTGGCTGGCAGGCATCGTGAGGTCACTCTCACCTTCCAGAGGCCAGCAGTTTGTAAACCAGGACTGGCCACATTCCCTGTGTCTTGGAGGCAGCCCAGGAGAGCTGCAACTATGGGACAGCTTCCCAGCTCTCCCTGGGCTCTGTGCCTTAGTGAAATGGGCAGAAAAGTTTAACTCTTAACTCTTTGACCTCAACCCATCCCTACTATGTTTTCATATTATGTGTCTTTGGTAGTATGTCTTATTTGGAGCCGATAATTCCTACGCAACTCAATAATTTCTCTCTTTGATGGTTTTGACCCCAACTGAGCTTCACCCATATGGTTTCTGAAGCAAAAATGTGACCCTGTCATTAGACACAGAGAACAGGAAGTGAGGAAAAGAGTTTTAGGGGAAGGATGCCGAGTTCAGCTTTCATTTGTCTTGAATGTAAGGGTTTGTCAGACAAAGATGTGGAATTTGGGAGAAGACAAAACTATTGTTAGAGAAGAAAAATTGTTAGAGAAAGTAATTGAAATGGGGGCCAAGAGAGGAAACCTATGGATGAGGATGGTATCACAAACCAGAAAATAAGATGTTGAAAACAGTCATCATTGAAGCTGCACAAATGAAGAAATGCCCTAGAGAAATCTGTGTATGACAGAATTTCTCCTATGTTCAACTTCTATTCCCTTGGAGAAGTGCAGCAGTGGGACCTTTGCTTGTTATCTTTAGTCTCTGTTAGTTTAAGTGGAAGTTAGTCTAGATTAAAGACAGGCTGAGGAATACAGGCTGCCTTAGGGATCACAGGCAGAGGTGTCACTTGGCTTAACTGGCCATAGGGTGATGCTGAAGCAGACTTACTCCTGGTTAGAGTCACTGGACTTTGATCTACAAAATTTGTTCTTGATATTGTAGAGTCCTTACCACCCATTAGAGTATGAGGAGAATTGACCCAGATCAAGAAGTTCATTGAAGGATGTATCTTTCTGGAAAATACCATTTGCACTATAAAATGCTTAAAAATGACAAGTCCTTACGAAAAAAGAAAGAGGACTTTTTAACTTTTGCTTTGAAAAACATGGAAAATTTTCCAGAAATTACGTATGTTGATAGCTCATGAAACTGAAAAATGGAACTTCTGCACATATACTGGATTGAAATTCAGTGCTGAGGAATAATGTTCTGCAAAAGGGAAAATCAAAAAGTGCCTAGGAAGCAAATGCATACATTTAGCATAATATGGTCTACACGTAATCTATATCCTAGTCACTTCTTCCCTAAGATTACAGACCTGAAATGTGTATTCGTAAGCTTTCAGACAGTGCCTAATACAATGAGGTTACAAAGGTACTTGGTTCCTCTCAGTATTACTGCAATGTAAATTTTAAGTTGTACTGAGATAATGGTGTGAGAGTACAACTGGATTGAGAAGTCAAATATAAAAAAATCAGAAAAATACCAAGCTCATGCCTTTAAGCCTCCATGTACCTGTCTGACCCAGCAGAGCAGGAACAGTCTGCAGCTTCCTGAGTTCTGGTTTACCATGATCTAGAAGGCAAAGTCAGGAGGTCTCACAGCAAAGGCCAATGAACACTTCAAAGGAGCAGCTCTGCTTCATGACAATGAGCTCACAAAGACCAGCAATGGGTGTGCTCTTTGTCTGGGGCTTTAACCACATCTTGCAAATTCTGTAGGATGCTTGAGTTGGGTATTCAGCATGTTGCTGCCTCATGCTTCTAAACCCAAGCGGCACTTAACACCAAATACAGCAAATAAGCAAACTCTGTGTTAAAGTATTAAACCTTCCTTGTGTGAAATATCCAAAAGAACTCATAATCAGATGAGCCCTCACCTCCCTCCTCTGAAGAAGCGTATCTCCTGGTGGAGGTGTTGGCTGACCGGCAAGGTCCGATGTTTTAGACCTTCGATAGCCAAGATGGCGTCCTTCTGGTCGGTGTCATTTCCGGTTCTGGAACTGTGGGAACCAGAAGAGGCCGGATCAGAGGAGGTGGGACCTGTGCTGGAGGGACTTTTTGATGAAGGGGGAGGATCCCGATGCGAGGGCAGTACCCGACACAGTGGTGGTACCCAACGTGAGGGGAGGACCCGATGCGAGGGTAGGAAAAGGGGGAGGTGGCAGGATAGGACTCAAAATGGCAGAACTGCCACTTTGTTGTGGGTAATATGAAAGGAAGGGATTAAGGAAAGGATTGAGGGGCGATGGAAAGTGGGTTAGGGCAGAGTCCAGGATGGTATGGCCAGTATCATCCTGGGTAAGGGACAGAAAGGGAGGGGAGATGGCAGGTGGTTGGTGGCTCATCTGTGCATTAACACAGGCTCCATCTCCCATCTCGTTCTCAGGGGCAGTGGGATTTGGGACACAAGGGGAGGAATCTGAGAACTGGGAAGTAGGGTTTGAACATGAACTTTTAACTTCTTCATAAACCAAATGAAAAAGGGGATAAAACTTAGCAACCCTTAACTTTCCTTCTGTTTGGCAAACATAAAGCTTATCTCCAACTTGTCACACTGTAATTAGGAACGGTAAAACGATGACACAGACTCTCTAGCCTTGGTTACAAAAGAGAGCAAGTTTTATTCTTCCAGATCTTCTTTTATAGACAGTTCCAAGCAGGTTCAAACAGGTAAAACTCTCATTGGTCATGAAACTAACACATTACCATCACGAGACAGTTAGGAACATCACCCCTTGACCCTTTCATACAAGTAAGCAACAAGGAACAAACAACACCTGCAAAGGTTGTTTTCCCTCTCCAAGGACTGTTTGGATTCCTTCTTGTGATTTCTCAGGCCAGAGTGAGAGAGTTGTGTACTTGACTTTCCCACAGGCTCAAGCTAGTGCCTGAAGCCTAAAAATCTCTTATTGGAGACTGAGACACTGTCAGCTGCCACACCAGCTGAGTCCCAAAACCCCAATGAATAAACAAAATCTCTAGAAACATCAGGAATGTTTTTAAGTATCCAACAAACAAAATGTTTTAACTCCCTTTTTGAAAATGGATTTCCTCTACAAATAAGAACTTCCCTAACCTGCATATATACATCCCATTCAGACATGCTAAGGACAATCCCCTTGGCTGCCCTGGATGTTTCAGGGTTGCCCACCCACAAGACTTTAAAACACCCAGCTGAAATGGCCTGTATCCCACCAACTCACCTCTGGCGGGTCCGGGAGTAGGTCCAAGTACCTCTTGTGGGGTCATCTGCTGAGTCAGTCCTCTGGTGACATGGAGGGTGCCGATTCTCCCTTCCAGAAACCCTGATAAAATTCGGGACTTGTTTCTGGGTGATGGCTCACCCAAAGGTGTCTTGCTTCCGATGACAATGGACCAGCCAATTCATCACCGGAGTTGCTCTCAGGGACCTCCAAAAATGGCCCCTGTTCAGGCACCACTTGTGTCGTGCAACAACATGGCCTGAGAGCGACTAACGCTTCTTCAGCCCAGAGTGCACAACTGAATCTTTAGGCAGATGATTAAGATGGGGGACGGGTCTTTGTATGGTACTCCAGGAAGGGTTTATTTACTGAAGAGGGTCCAGGGACAAAGACAAAACTGGGTGGAGAGTCCAAGGTTATATATGGGAAAGAGGGGTCAGATTGGAGGGTCAGGGTCCAACGGGAGCCAGAAAAAATGGCAGAAGCAGGGTTAGAGACAACAACAACAAATAGGAGGACTGCAGCAAATTGGGGCCAATGGGGATTGAGGGAAGGGAGAACATTCTAGGTTTACAAATAAGGTAAACGGGGGCTGAACAGGGTGACAAAAACTTGGCAAACCAGTGGGGGAACAAACTCAGCAATACATTAACATATAACAGTAAAGATCTGTGGGAGAGAGGCCTTCTCTCACCCCAACCTTGGGAGGTTGCTTCCTTTCCAGGATTGGGGTATGGGGATTTTAGTCATAGGCCCTTGGGCCTCCACATACCCCAACATAAAACAAACCATCAGTTAAATAATCCACAATATCCAAGTGAATGAGCCCATTATGATTCTGAGATTTGGCAAGTGACTTTTCAGGTGAGCATATAGTATTTTTTCTCTTTTTCTTGAAAAAGCTCATAAATCCAAAACAGAAATATTCACTATCTCTTTACATGATCATTCTTGTTTTCTCTAGTTATGAGGCTAATAAACCAGTCAGTTTAAGACAGCTTGTCTGATGGCCATGGACAAGCAGAAAGTTTTCCCAGCACACTAGGACTCTTGACCAGGGATCTTATGCAAAAAATCGCTTATAATTTCTGTCTTCATGGAAAAACTACACTGCAGAGAAATGTGTTTCAACCTCTGCATTAAGCAGTTTGATTTCTGTCCATGAGATCTTCTAAGGCTCAGTCTATTTGTTTTCACTTCTGGAGTTATTTATTTTTTTCTTAGTGCCTTCCTTGGGGCAGCCATCCAGTGCTGCAGGTTTTTTACCCCTTTTTTCCCTGACATGCTGAAAGTTGACATTGCCAACAATTACATGTGCTATATTGACCTTCATACTAATTACTCTTTATCCATTAATACTCCTTGAACATAGTTATCCCTCTGTAAGTTAATGTGCTGCCTGTAAGCATCTGCCAATGGGCTGCTGATGTAATGTGTTTGACTTACATATCAATTGGCTTTGTTATTACTAGAAAAAAAAAAATTGTAACAGTTACAAGTTACCCATATTCTCTGCTTCTAAGCAGGAAAAATAATGTTGCTGCAGAACAGCTGATTTTATTCCATAAATTCTATCAATTATGTGAAGAAAGGAATGGCAGATGCTGTGAGAGTAAAAAAAAAGTGCCATCTAATTCCTTAATAGTCACTGAGACAGATTTTGCATTTCATTAGAGCAGAAATTGAATAATCTCAAGTTTTTGTAGCACACCAGAAGAAGTGTATTTATCTAATAGTGTCTTTTGAACACAGCTCTGTAAAAACACTGTGAACTGAAAAATAATCTGAAAAATAGCTTGTATTACATTGTTTGACATAGATAAGTCTACTAGCACTTTCACCAATATTATCATTCTAATGAAATTTGAGGAGTGTAGTTTTCACCCCCAAACTTACTAAAATTACAAGGAGACCCAAATGACAAATAAATCCAATGTAGAATGAAATATCTGAATTATATACCTGTTACTTCTTTTCTTTAAAACTATACATAAAAAATTAAGTCAGCTTATATGATAGTAAGGATAGTAAGAAAACTAAAAAGAAGCATAACCTTTTTAAAGCAAAAGAAAACTAAATTATACAACTGACCCTGACCATGTACTAGAGATAAATTCCTGCAGAAGATACATGTTCTATTTGAAAAATTCTAAAGGAGTTCATTAAAAGATTAATGAGGGTTATTTTAATGAACTTTTCTAAGAAGATATTAACAGTGGTAGCTTTTAGAAATACAATTTTCTTTGCCTGCAGCAGAAGCAGAGTGCCTGAGTATCATCAAGGAGCACTGAGCATCAGCCTGTGACTTGTGACCAGTCCCTGCACTGTGTCTTCACTGACTGAGAGCCTCGATTTAACATCTTCCTTTTCCTATCCACTGCTGAAAAGGTGAGAAAAATGATCAGTTCCTAATTTGCTCTAGCATCCTCCATGGTTGAGAGATGATTGTGTTGCATCGGCAATGATTCCTTATATTTTCCTTTACCAGAAGCTGGAGCATAGGTGCATTTGAGATGCTGGAAGGATTGTCTTCTACATCTGCCAGTTCTAGTTCTCTTTTCTTTCAAGTATGCTGCACACTGCTGGGCTGAGCAGTGAGCTGTGGAGAAGTGGTGAACTCTCTGTGGAGTCAACTGCACGGTTTTCTAAGAAGATAAGATGATGCTAAAGGCTTAAGCCAAAGATTAAGTTCATCCTACATCTCTCACAACACAGCATTCTCTGTCTTTCCTACCCACTTTTTCCTACACTTCTTTACACAGCTTTCTCCCTCTAAAAGCAGCTGCAGTGGCAACAGGAAGGGACAATCTACTCTAATTTTTCTGTTCTGCTGAGACCAGCAGCATAGCAGAGAGAATTTTAGGATTTTGTAGTCAAGGCAGTGGAAGAAAAGCACCTCCTTCACATTCTTCAGTGGGGCTGATATGTAGGGCACCTTTTCTACAGTAATGTGTGATCTGCCTTACTGCATGAGGGGCAGAAAGCAGTGCTGGGCTATAGCCATGAGCTACGATACATACTGTCATGCCTCACACAGGTTCAGCAGATCAAAATCCCTTTAGCATTACAGGATAAGCTAAAGGGTTGAATCTACCTAAGAAAATATTTGCAAAATGCGACTTGTTATATTGTTTCACCATGTCTGCAGTCTCAGTCCTTGGTTCATATTAGGTTTTTGGGTTTTTTTACAAACTTGACAGCTATGATGAAAATTAAGACTGAATGTGGGAGAGGAGAAAAACCTGTATATAATAAGAACTTTAAAAGAGGAATACTGGGCAAGTTCTATATATTAAATACTGTAAAGTAAGACTTAGTGAACATTGAGAAAGTAAAGCAGAACACAAAACGTCAAAACACAGTATTTAAAATTGTCAAAGGCTATACTGCAGAAAACATGAACACTTTGTTACTGATAAATGCAATGGAGTCTAAAAGTCCAGCAGGCTTTTAAAGAGAATTGCAAAGTTTTATTGTTATGGCATGGGAGTATTACGGATATGAGAGAAAGCAGGGTGGACCAGATGCGGTGTTTGTTATATATATGCTTAGGCTGAAAGTGCAAACAGCATTCACTGATATTACATTATGTTTACAATATAGCAGAATAATATTACATCATCACAAAAGCATAATGTCATTACTGTCTGCCACAACTGAACTATAGCCAGGATCTAATCCAAAGTTCACTGATTATCAATAAAAAGACCTTCAATGACATCAGTATACTTGGGATCAGTTAGGACAGAAATGAGGGAATGGCTTATGCCCTCCAGCCTCTAATGGCTTATCTAATTAATGTTTGTTTTGCTTGTTTGCAAAGACCTCTTAGCAAAGTGGTTGCAGCAGCTCAATGACAACCAGTATGTCCCATGTTGTGGAAATATATCTGGATATACCCAGCCCCTGCCACAGACCTGTGTTACTACTAAAAGAGTGAAGAAGCAACTACATCTTGTCTACTACTGAAGTACCACTAAACCAACTGTCCCAATCCCTGAACACATTTGAATGGATTCAGTGTTTCCATGTATCTTTGAGAGGACATACATAAACCTAAGGTGAAACCAGCATTTGAGCCACTACTTGACTAATACTCATCTCCTGAAAAACACACTGGAGCCCAGGCTAAGGCATTGGATGATATGCAGAGTGTGATAGCTAAATTCAAGCTGTATGATAGCTAAATTCAAGGACCTGTAAGACTGAACCCAGCTGTTAACCCAGCACTGCCAAGTCCACCACTAAACCATGTCCCTAAGTGCCACATCCACATGTCTTCAGAACACTACTAGGGATGGTGATTCCATCACTTCCCTGGGCAGCCTGTTCCAGTGCTTGACCACCCTTTCAGTGAAGAAGTCTTTCCTAGTGTCCACTCTAAACCTTCCCTGGTATAGCTTGGTACCATTTCTTCTTGTCCTGTTGCTGTTTCTTTGGAGAAGAGGCTGACCCCTGTCTGGCTGCAGTCTCCTTTCAGGTGGTTGCAGAGTGGTAAGGTCTCCCTTGAGCCTCCTCCTCTCCAAGCTAAACACTTCCAGCTCCCTCAGCCACTTCTCATCAGGCTTGTGCTCCAGACCCTCCCCTAGTTCCATTACCCTTCTGTGGACATGCTACAGCACCTCAGTGTCATTGATGTAGTAAAGGGCCCAAAATGGAACCCAGGATTTCAGTTATGCCAAATCCTTCGATGGAAGTTCAGACAAAGCCACTCTGTTTAGGGGAAGAAGAAAGAGTCGCCTGGAGATGAAGCATGTTGTGTCATCTGTCCTCAGGCAGCCAAAGAATGGTCCTTGGCCCTGTTTTAAAACACGTATCCTCTAAGAATATCAGATTTATCAAAGAAAAATCTATATGAATAGGTTAGCTGTTCATAACCTTCAAGAAATGAACTTCATGCTGCTGTTGTCAATGCAATAGAGACTATATAATGATTAAGAGCATGGAGAAAGCTTTCTTACTTGCCTACATTAGATTTATTCTACTGCTATGTCATTATGCACATAAGTCTTAGAAATGAGAATTGTGTAAAACTAGTTGAAAATGAGAGCTCAGCAACACTGTCAGAAAGTTTTTACCACTGCACAGACATCCCATTGCCTCCAGAAAAGGTTATCACATTTAGTGTCATATGGAATGAAAAGCAAGTAGCAGCACTTTAAAATGTTCATATAGGATATTTTTGGGCAGGAAATGCATGAGGTCTGGCTGTGCTTTTAAAGACAAAAGCATGCTCACAAAAGGGCTGTGAACAAGAAAGCCTTAAAAGCACGTAAAAATATGTGTGACATTTAACTGGTGCCTTTTGGGAGGTTGGACTCAATATTGTCTTAAATGAGACACTTGGTGTTAGACATCAGACTGAAGTCTACACTGCTACACAAACTGAATTTGCATATACATTAAGGTTAAAAAACCAAAATATTCTATTTCCTTAAGGACCTATGGAATTTCCCATTTGCCACCAATAAAAGAAGGAAGCAGTTGAAAGTGTGGCTGCATTTTTCCCTTGAAGTGTTGTAACAATTGTTTCATCAGTTTTGTCATACTATCTGTCCTGTTTTCTCTCTAATCATGTAGAAACAAATTGTTATTTATATTCATTAAAAATAACATTTTTAATGTGTGTAAACACTAGCAGGGATCTAATTTCCTAAGGTGGGAGTTCAGCATGCTGTGAGTTTTAATAAAGCTGGTATAACCGGCAACTTAGTTCTCTCAAATGCATAATCTTTTCCTTTTAAAATGTTAATAATGACATATTTATTATGAAGGTTCCCCTTCTTCAGAGTCCTACTATTGCTCTCTACAGATCTGAAATATTTGGTGCTACTTTTCATACAGCAGCCCTTATGGAGGCAGAAAGGCACGTGGCCTGTAAAAGAGACAGTCTTATCTGTAAAACCGAGGATTTTCTGCCCAGCATAATGATGGCTCAACATGTCTGTTCAAGGACACCCACCCACTGGACATTGCTTGCTAACAACCTAAATTGCAGCTAGAATAATGTGTCAGGGCCTCAGCTTCCACCTGCTGTATCTTCTCTCCTTGAAGTGGATAAAGGTATCTAAGAGCAGGGCCATGAGTCGCTTCTAGCCAGAAGGAAACACAGAAGTCTCTTAAGCTGCACCAGCCTTGGCTTTTAGCTACCCAGTGCTGGACTGCAGGGATTTAGGGTTTCATTGACCTCAAATATGTTAAGCCTAATGTGAAGAGCACAAGCCTTTTCCACAACAAAAAAAAAAGAAAATCAGAACAATCTTTCAGTTCAGAGGGCTGTAAACAGAGGGTGTTGCCCATTCTCTTTTATTCAAAAACCTGGAAGAACACCAAAAATGTAATGGTCCACACAAGAGAGATGCAAGACCAGAATCCAGTGTCCTGCTCTGGCTGACAGTGGGTAACTTGTCTTTTCTATAGCTAGAATGTTCTCCTTGGCCAGGATATGTTTAATTGTTCTGTACAAATCAAGACAGTGAGAAACAAAAGAGAGCAAGAGGGTCCCATATAGAGTAGTTTGTAGCAAGGTTGCACAGCTACACTGCATGGGAGAGTGTGTGTAAGACCCTGACTACCTGAGCAGTGTTCTAGATACCAGGATGGGTCTGCATTGCTTCAATTTTGTCCACAGATGTAAGATCTCTTTTTCAAAATGTATGTGGACAATGTATGGGATTCTGGGTTACTTTTATTTCCAGCTGATTAGTCCCCTACATATGTGCCTGACAACATCCCACTGTTACCATCTGCTCTGATCCCAGCTCTAAAGCTATTGTGTCCCTTTCCAATCCTTCTGGCTATCAGAGGCCATATCAGTCCACACCACCCTGCAGTGCATCAACCAAACCCTGTTTTCCAGCTGCATGCTACCACTTCACCATTTCCAGGCCCCAAGGGTCCTTTTTTATTCTTTACCACATATTCCTACCTTCATAGCATCCTCTTTCATTTTGCACATCCAAAATTCTACTTTCTTTACCTTCCCCACCTTTCTCTCGTGTGCCAGCAAGTCTGCTCTCTCCATTTCAAGCTTCCTGCCCCATTACTCCATGCAGAAGTGCAGGTATCAGTATAGAGACAGTTGCTGCAGGGAGTTTTGCTGATGTTTGTGGGAATTGGCAGCTGCCATACTTGAGAGGGAAGATTACAGATTCAGGAATACCTTGCTGAAGGATAAGAAATTATTATGCATCAACTGCTCCATAGCAGTGTCCCTGGTCCACATTATTTCCTCATGGCGAAGCAGAGATGGTCTGTCTCTTTGTAAAGGCATATCACATCTACTCTAGGGTAGGAATGTGCCCCTGGGCAGTTACCAGGATAGATTTTCTTCATATGTCCACCCAGCTTTCTTTATTGTCAAGCCAAATTATCATGCACCACATGACTGGTAAACTGGTAATATCAGGCACCACTTGATCTTAGCACTCCACTCTTCTTCCCTGCCCATTATCAGGACCTGGGGTCAAGAGGAGAAACTAAAACAATTTTCAGAGAATAAAACAATTCCAACAATCAGAAGAATGATGTGGTTTATGACTAAGGAGTGACATGGAAAAGAAATGCCTTAGCAGCATGTGAAACGGTTTGCAGAGTTGATGTAAATTGCCAGCATAGCTGAACCCTTAAGTGTAATTGTGGTACTAATTGCCAGCTGAGCCCTGAGCAGCTTCAGTCTTTACTTAGGCAGCTGAAATGGCAGTCAGTAACAACTTGTGCATCTATGCAATAAAATATCCTGTATTTAAATTCTGAATGTCATGACAATTAGAAAGAAAAACACCCCAAACCTGGA